TGATTAGTAATTAAATGAGACGGACAAATTATGAAATGAATGGAAATATTATAGATTGTTTAAAAGTCAGTCGAGTCAAAAGAGAAAGATAATATTTACTCATTTAATATTTTTGTACACTACTTTCTTGTCATCTCACTATTAGATGTATTATTGTTAAGAATAATAATAAGGCGCTGATTTTAATTAGCTTTATTTTTAATACAATTTCGATTGTAAGTGTGAGCGTTGTGTGTTCAAGGAACGCGCTTTGTTTTATTTCGCTCTAAGCGATATGTCTAATTTAATTAGACTTTAATTTGTTTTTTAAATCTTATCGAGATTGTTTTGATAATGGATTGCTAAAGGTTTTAAACAGAATAACAATTTCAGATCGTAATATTTTTTTTTTATTTTAATGAGATTAGAGATTATGTAGCTTATATTAAAGGCAACTTGGCTTAGCTTAGATGTATGTTTATTCGGTTAAAAATAATCGAATCGATTCTAAGACGACGTTCTCTAAACCTATATCTAAAACTAATATTTTAATTCGATAATTTTAAGGACCATCATAAATTATGTGTATATTCAATTTTAACTTTAATCTATTAGGAATTTAGTTCATTGTGGTTCTTAAATATTTCGTGATGATATCAAATTGAAATTGTCATTCTTGAGTTTGACGCCTCAGAATCGATCCCGATGTGGCTGAACCAGAAATGTTATTCTTTTACTTTTACACGAACTAATCGATTCCATTGTCTTTTTATTGTCAGTTTAGTTCAAATTGATTTTATTGATTGAACATGACAAAATGGCTCGTATTACAAAGTAAGAGGTGAATTAAATTATTTATTAATAATTCGATATTAATTATATAAACTCCTCAATATTGTATTGTATATTTTTTGCTTGGATGGAAAATGTGTCTGTGATAGTTTACAGTCAGAACTGTGATTTGTATGGTCGAACCACGCATGTTATAAATACCAAAGATTCTTGTACGGTTGGCAGCACAAGTTTAATAATCAATAAAGCAGTTTTTTTTATGGGTGAAAATGGTATGGTAACCCCGCCTGCGCTAACGGGATACGCTGGCGGAGCACCAGTGAAGGGTGATAGATGAGAATGAAAACAGGCCAGTTAGCCCATCATGATGAATTCATCAGAAATTAACTATGATAGTGTCCAGGGGGAACCGCGAGGAGGTCGACCTGGTTGGGTATATTGCTAGCAACGGGATTCTCAGTCTCCATTACTAACAATCCCTTTTCCCCTTCAAAGCAGTGTTTACAGATATTGCAATACAAAAAGAAAAATATATCTGTTTTATTTTTAAAAATAAAATAATTATGTTTAAAATCTATTTTTTAGGCTTAGATTGATTTATATTTTTACTCATAATATAAGTCTGGTATAATTGTGCATTTTATCAATATATTCCTATTTGAATCAGTTAATCACTGTGTTGCCAACTGTACAAATAAGGTTAAGAGTTTATCTTATACGTTTAATAATTATTTAATAAAATATTTATAATTTAAGTAAATATTAAAATTTAATTATTATGACTATTTAAAAAAGTTATCTATTTAACGCTCGCTATAATATATGAAAAAACTTTCATTTAAAGAAAAGTAATATGGCTGACTAATAGTCTTTTTTACTTTTTTTTTAGAAAATTGTAAAATTGCTTTGTACAGATATAAATATTATGTATGGTTTTAAATATTAGTTTGCTAAACGCATAATTTTAATGAAGTGTAAGCGAATGAATGGTGGTAATGCAAATAGTCGTTATATTTTAAATTTTCATTACTTTATAGGTTATAATTCGTACATGTGCAGAAGAATGCTTTTGAAGTCGAAGGGCAATGTTGTAAATACATATTCATTCAATCATTCATGTGACTTCATTTGACAGGTATAATCATTACTGAGAGGCAAAGATGATAGAGATGAAAGATTTTGTACTTTGCTGAAATGCTCCGAGGAATGTTGAGATGGATGAAAAGGAATTGGATATAATAATTATACCAGAAAGCCTGGAAGGACCAAATCGAGGTTATCTAACCTGTTATGGTCATCGTAGACGGTCAAGTGACTTAAATTAGTAAGCATATTTTGCTGTTTGTGGGACAGAAACCGAGTTGATTATCTTTTAACTTACAACTGGCAATACATGCGTACTTAGTTCGAGCAGTTTGACCGTGTACGGTGGCCTTTTAAGATATGAGAAAGAATGAGTTACTAAAGGAAGGAGTTTGGAATAAGAGGAAAGCCAAAAATAAGATAGGTGGACTTTTTAAAAGAAGATATAATGAATGATGAAAATAATGTTTGTGGCGTGGCAAGTAGGATAACTGAATTTTTACCGACTTCAACTATTGGAAAGATACCTGAATCGTGATTATGTTTAGAATATTTAACACGAGAATTTTATTATAGTCACTTTGATAAAGTACCAAAGAATAGAAATTATGGTTTCCACGAATAATTTGTATTTGAAAGACAAATATTAAATGAAATTATAGGTAGTTAGTAATGCATTGATTTGAGAAGCGATCGCGAGAAATAGATCTATTTCACGCATGCCTATAATCACATTATATTTGCTTTCTCTTTCATTCAAAAAGGCCCACTGAAATATTTTTATTTTCACTGCACTTTATTAGCGATTAATTGTCAATTTTAATATTATTAATTCTTAATATTTTATACGAATGTCCTTTTAATTTTGTCTGCAACAAAAAAGTTGCAATAAAGAAAAATAAAAAAAAAATTGGTAGATTCGGATTGTTTTGGTAATTTAGTCCAGTAGTGAATAATTTAACAACTAAATGAGTCTGAATAACAACATTTTAGTTTAGTATATTTTTTACTAAATTAATCACTAATCGACTAATTTATTAAAGTCAATACGAATTCGGCCTTCGACAATCATCATTTGATTCAAACATTTTAAGCAAAAATCGTATCAATTTATTAGAATAGCTGAGACAACGTGAAAAGGGCATGTGTATGTTCTAAAATTATTCTCCTAAGAATTTAAAGTACAAAACATCATAAACAAATAAGTGAATATATCTACACTTACAGCATTGTCTACTTTTATATAAGATGTAACAATTAAAATTCTCTGTAATTGTATTTTTGTATTTATTTTTTTATTATTATTATATCAGCCGTTAACTGTCCGCTGCTGAAAATAGACCACCCTATAAGCTTTACTAGTAGTTTTTTTTTTTTTTATTATTATTTTAAGGGCTTTTACCTTCTTCAGGTATATCAGTCTATTGTACCCTGAACTGATTTCTCCAACAAAACTTTATCTACCATCCCTAGACGCGGAAAGAGAAGAATTAATGGGCATCAATAATTTACAGAGATGTTCAAAAATTTCTGGTTTAAGTTCAGCTAACATAGTTTGAATAAGACCAACATTCAATTTATTTAAGTTAAAGTGGCGCATGAATTCTTCTCTTTCCTTCGTGTTAATACGACACTAATAGAATATGATGCACATCATCGATGGTACTATACTGCCATGCTTAGCAAATGGGTTGGCTACCACAGATAGGCTTTGATGATGTTTTAAGAGGGACGCTGCTGCCATCCCTCAACATTTAAATTCCCTAAGTTACCTCTTACGACGCCCAGGGGAAAGGAAAAGGAAAGGGTGGCCACCCTGGCTTTAGTATTTATTTTATTGATATATTCAGTGTTTTTCTCATGAAATTTATATTTTCAGGTCAAAATATAAAAAAAAAATATCCTTCATATTGAGTGATCACGTGATTTATTTAGTATATTTGAATTCTTTGTCTATGGGGTGTTGTTTCATGAATACCTTAAGATATAGATATCTATAGATACTGTACCTATAAATTTTGGATAGTTGTTTATATCTTGTATAAAATTTTGTTACATCTTGTATAAAAAATGTTTTAAAATATTCCCCCTACTCCATTAGGCTACTCACTTGAATGATCTGTATTTTCTTATATTTTTATTAAATGTTTTAATGAGATCTCATATTGTCAGAGCACTCATATAAAAGCAGGGTTACTCTAAAATAAAACGTTGCTTCAATTATTAGTAATTATGTAGGAGGAGATTTCAGTAGATTTAGCATAATCATTATTGGCAACACTCGAGTTAAATAATTTATGATTTAGATTCTGAAAGTTGTAAATCTAGTTACCTTATATTTTATTATATAATTAGTTATTGTTAGAACAAGTTATCTTTATCATTGTGACTTTGTTTTGTAAGTTGTTTTAAAATTTAATATAAATATTTAGTTCATATCATCGCCACTAGAGGCGCTGTACAAATATCCTTGCATCAAAATTATTACCATTTGACTTCCATTTGCACTTTATTTGGATTTAAGAGCGAATTTGTAATTTTCCTTTAAATAAATTTACTGAAATCTAATCCAAAGCGCAAGTCTAGACTAGCTTAGCATTCTAGTGCATAATTAAAATAATTGTATTTTGCCAATCTTCACTGTCAGTTACTGACAATCTGCCATTTTTTACGTACCCTAGTTTTTAATGAATGTATTAAATGTATGTGTAATTATTATGTGGTTTTATTACAATACTCGTAATTCACTTTATTATTTTGTATAATAGTAGGTAGTAAAGCAGTGTATTCAGGACAGGACGATTCATAGCCGATATCAGAGTATACACTGTATGTAGGCCATTGCTGATATGATACATGATGTTGCAGAATTGGATATATATTTTTTTATTTGTCATAGGAAAACCAGGGATTTTCCATAGGAAAAGCTACACTAGAGCAAAAAGATACAATTTAGGATCACAAAATAAAGTTTTCATAAGTAGCAACAATATAGATACAATACACTGTACACAAAACAACAAAAATAGGAGTTAACAAAAAAAACTATGAAAAAAAAATTGTCAACTATCTACCTATATAAAATCAGCCACTGGATCTGGGGGGTTAAAATAATAGCAAATTTTTAATTTCAAAATAAAGCTACATTTACAAAATAATTCTTTTTATTCTGTATATACTTAAATTGAATATGCAACTTTGGAATATTGCATAATGTAATGTACATTACATTAGTTAGGTGCATACAGTTCAACTTTTACTTAACATCTAAATTATCATGTATCTGTCACATCACAAACTTTAACATTTAAAAATTGATAACACAAAGAGTTAAAGAGAATGATCAGGTGATGATGTTGTAAAATTGATTCGTATTCAGGTTGAAACCAAAATCATTAAGGATCCTATTAGATCTTTGTACACCATATACTAGTGAAACTGAAAATTTTTTCCAAAGAAAATAGATTTAAAATAAAAAGAAAACATATTTTCCTCTATTCACTCTCTCACTACTTCTCTCATATCAAGTCCAATTGTTAAAATGATACTAATAAAGATGACATTGATTTCACCTGTATTATTTAACCTATATGGTCATTTTAAAGTAACACAGTCCTTAGTCCTTACATTTGTATTAATTTATAGTGGATGCCCTAATAATTTGATTTCACTTCTAACTTCATCATACAAGTCTTTATAATCTTCGTGTTCCTTGACTAGCACCATGATGCAGCCTCTCATAGTGCCCATGGCAGCACCAATGTCTTTACGGCTTGGTGTGTAGCAGTATGGAACATCCTTCTCTTCGCATACTGCTGGAAGGTGGCACATAATCTCTATCGGTGATATGTCACCTGCAAAGATTACAATCCTGAAAAGATAGAAATATGAACATTAGAATATTAAAAAATAACTATTCGATTAAATGGTGAATAATAAGAGTGGCATTATTATTTATATATGTTTTCTGGACCTCAAGATACCATATTATAAGAAAACAGAGGGAGACTTTGTACAAAAGTCGATTGCTTCTGTCCTCCTCTGTCCCATTCGTGTTTCAACTGTAAAGCAGTTGTGTTTGCATGGCTGTGTTTCGGTTTGAAGGGTGGGATATGGTGTTAATTTACTGGGTACAGAGGAATAACACCTGAGTCCTCAGGAATGGCAACGCATGGGGGGTATTATGGGCGAAACAGTATATTCTGTTATGTGCGGCGATATAGGCGACGGTTACCACTTTTCATCAGGTGGGCCATCAGCTTGTTTGCCATTCTAGGTTGTATAAAAAAAAAACATATAATGAAATTCTAAAATATTAAAATAACTAATTTCAGTCTTTAAATATTTAATATCATCAGCAATAATAGTCTAAATTTTTTTTATATTCGAATAAATGATTGATATATATACATACATATATTAATAAATAGAAAAGTCTTGTTTGTTTGTAATGCATAGATTCAAAATACCATATTCTGAAAGTTACATCATTAGCAACTGACATAGACCATATATTATTTTTGAAAATTCATCTACCTGTGTGAAGCCAGGTTTTTTTAATGGGAGAGAATGGAATGGTACCTCAGCCTGCGATGTGGGTAAACATTGGCGAGGCACCAGTGAAGGGTGACAGGTGAGGATGAAGGCAGGTCTGTTGGACCATAGTGACCAATTAAACAAGAATTAACCACTATGGTTTCCAGTGGGAACCGTGTGGATGTCAACCTGATTGTAGTATATTGGAAATTATTGTTCCTAAGGTTGGCAACATTGAAAAATGTAATTAAGTGAGTGTCATGGCGTCCATCAATAAAAGTGTGCATTCATTTCAAGCAGTTTTTTTTTATTATTATAAAGGCAAGTTATTTAAGCGTGCAAAGTACATCAAATGTTTTACAACATTATAAAATGGCGACGAAGTAAAAGTATTTATAATTCGCAAGTGCTATTTTTCATTTTTGTAATTTGTTTAAAAGTTACAAATTACAACCGACATGGCGTCAAATATTTCTTTTAAACCCTTTCAAGAAGGAGATGATATTAACTGTTTTTTGGAAAGGATGGAACAGCATTTTACTGCAAACCAAATAAATGAAGCAAGACAGCTACCAACCCTGTTAATTTCCTTACATCAAGATGTATACAAAATTTTGAAAAGCATGGTGCATCCATCTTTACCGAAAGAAAAATCATACAGGGAAATTGAAGAAGTTTTAAAATTAAGGTTTCAGCCAAGAGTTGCCCATTTCAGAAAAAGAATAAAGTTTTACAATTTACGGCAGGCGGAGGGTGAGTCATCATCCAAGTGGTTTGCTCGTGTCAAAGAAGCGGCAACAGAGTGCAATTTTGGAAAAGGAATAGAAGAGTATGTCAAGGACAAATTTATTACGGGAATGTTACCAGGGCCGATACAAGATAGATTATGTGAAGAGCCTGTAACAAAGGATACTCAAGATTTATTGGAGATAGCTTTAAATAAGGAATCATCATTTCAACAAAGTGATTTAGTGTCAGTGAATAAAATTTCAAATAAATTTAATAGTAAACAATCTAGTGCACAGGTAAAAATAAAAACATTTAATAAACAGGAATGTGACAAGAGTCCCCAAGGTAATATTTTAAAATGTGTTCATTGTGGAAAACCTAATCATTCATTTGCTAGATGTAAATACAAGTCTTATAAATGTAAAATTTGTAATAAAATAGGACATTTAGCATTAGTGTGTAAAAATAAGCCTACAAATAATATAAATATTGAAAATAATTCAGTGGATATATTTACAGTAAAACATGAGTCACACATTAATTATATTTCTCCTTTTATGATAAAATGTTATGTAAATTCAATACCATTAGATATGGAATTGGATACAGGAGCGACTGTTTCTTGCATTCCTTATAAGATTTATAAAGAAAAATTTTGTAATGTTAAATTAAACCATACTGCATTGGAATTAAAAACATATAGTGGTCAATTGGTGAAGCCAAGTGGTGAAATTTCAGTTAATTTAAAATTAAATGGAAAAGAAGTTCATTGTTCTTTGTTAGTAGTGGAAAATGGATGTAGAAATTTATTTGGTAGAGATTTAATGAATCTTTTTGATATGAACATGAAAGAGTTAATAGGTTTGAATTCTGTAAGCGTTTCAAATTTAGAAAGCATTTTGCAAGAGTATTCAGATGTTTTTAAAAATGAATTAGGTGTTATTAAGGGTGAAGAGATTTGTCTAGAATTAAAAGAAAACACTAAGCCGATTTTTATGAAACCTAGACCCATTCCATTTTCATTTAAGGAAAAGGTAGATTTTGACAAAATTAGAAAAAGAAGGCGTTATTTCCAAGGTGGATAATTCTGATTGGGGTACACCTTTAGTTCCAGTTATCAAAGAGAATGGTCAATTAAGGTTATGTGCTAATTATAAAATTACTGTTAATAAATATTTGAAAGAGTTTAATCACCCAATACCTAGAATTGAGGATATATTTACAGCTTTACAAGGAGGTGAAAAGTTCAGTAGATTGGATTTAAGAAATGCTTTTAATCATTTGATATTAAACGAAGCCACAGGGAAGTTGTTAGCTTGGTCCACACCAAGAGGTATATATAAATTACATAGATTGCCCTATGGTACTAAACCAGCTAGTGCTATATTTCAAGCAAAACTTGAAAAGATTTTGTTAGGAGCCAAAGGAGTAGTAAATTTCATTGATGATGTAGTAGTCACTGGAAATAATGACCTTGAGCACCTTCAAAATTTAAAGGAAGTTTTAAAACGCTTTAAAGAGGCAGGTATTAGGCTCAATAAAGATAAATGTACTTTCTTTCAAAAGGACATTAAATATTTAGGTCATATTATTTCTGAAAAGGGATTATCTAAAGATATGTCAAAAGTGAACTCTATAATTAAGGCACCTGCACCTACAAATGTTTCAGAAGCTCGTGCATGGTTAGGGATGGTTAATTATTATGGTAAATTCATCAAAAATTTATCTATTAAATTAAAGCCTATATATAATTTATTACAGAAAAATATTAAATTTAATTGGACAAAAGAATGTCAAAAAAGTTTTGATACAATTAAGAAAGATATTATTTCAGATAATGTGTTAATTAATTATAGTAGAGATTTACCTTTGCGTTTAGCTTGTGATGCTTCACAAAATGGAATAGGAGCAGTTTTAAGTCATATTTTGCCAGACGGGACAGAAAGACCCATCAGTTTTATTTCCAGAGTTTATACTAAAGCGGAGAAAGGTTACTCCATGATTCATAAAGAAGCTTTAGCAATTTATTGGGCTGTTCAGAAATTATATCAGTATTTAATAGGTAGAAAGTTTGAATTATTATCTGATCATAAACCATTATTGGCATTGTTTGGTGAACATAAAAGCTTACCACAAATGGCAGCAGGGCGTCTGCAACGATGGTCATTGTATTTGTCAAGTTTTGATTATACATTTAAACATATTAAAGGTATTGAAAATGTTAAAGCTGATTGTATGTCAAGATTGCCATTGCAGTCAACAGTGTTAAACAGTAATAATCAAGAATGTGATTATATTAATTTTATTGAAGATCAGAATATTATAGATATAAATTTAATTCGATCTGAAACTAGAAAGGATCCATTTTAAGTAGTGTTTACAACATGATAAGGTATGGATTTCCTAAACATATGAAAAATGAAGCTTTTAAACCATTTATTAACCGTAAAAGTGAATTATATATTGAGAGTGGAGTTATTATGTGGGGATATCGCATAGTAATACCTAAGAAATTACAGAATAATTTATTAAAGGAGCTTCATGTTTCACATGAGGGCATTGTTAAAATGAAGAACAATGCAAGGTCTTATTTTTGGTTTCCAAATTTAGATAATAGTATTGAAAATTTTGTTAAGTCTTGTCAAGTTTGTATGTCTGCAAGACCAGAACCTCAAAAGTCTAAAATTATTTCATGGCCTAGAACTAATTTTCCATATGAAAGAGTACATGCTGATTTCCTAGGACCTATAAAGGGTAAAATGATATTATTAATTGTAGATTGTTATACTAAGTGGCCAGAGGCATTTATTATGAAAAATTTAGATTGTAATACAACTGTAGAAAAATTTCGTGAATGTTTTAGTAGATTTGGTTTACCGAAAGTAGTAGTAACAGATAATGCAGCTACATTTTGTTCTAAAGAATTTTCTGAATTTCTTTTTAAAAATGGGATTCAACATGAGACATCACCACCCTTTCATCCAGCTACTAATGGCTTTGCAGAAAATGCAGTAAAGAATTTTAAGAATTCTATGTACAAGTCATTAAGTGATGTCAAGAATAGAAATGTGTCTTTTGAAACTTTAATGTGTAGATATCTTTTTCATATATAGAAATTCAATACATTGTTTTACTAATGTTTCAGCAGCTGAAGCTATGTTTAATAGAAAACTTAGATCCAGATTAGATTTATTATCTACTAAATAGGAAATAAACCAGAAAATAACAGTAGGGAAAAGAGAGGAAAAATTTAAAGAGGGAGATTATGTTTATTGTAGAGATTATAGAAATCCTAATAAGAAGAAATTTGTTAAGTGTATAATTGATGAAGTTTTGGGTCAAAGAACATATTTATGTAAAGTTTTAGAGGAGAATTTAATTTGGAAACGTCATTTGGACCAAATAATACGTTCTTTGTCTCAGAATCAGAAGGAACATGTAAGTGAAACTGGTAAAAATATATTAAATGATAATGTGATTAATGATTCTCATGAATCTATTTACAATAATTATGATAAAAATGGTAATGATAATTCAGACACAATTGTAATTGATCCAGTTTCAGAGGTAACAGATAACATTTGTAATAATAGTAATATAGCCTCTGAAATTGTTACTAATCAAAATGAAGAAGTAGCTTGTGCTAGTAATTCTTTTGAAAGTTCTCATTCAAGTCAAATATTGAGGCGTTCTGAAAGACAGAGGCGAGCACCTCAACGTTTGAACTTGTAAAGGGAGAGTATTGTAGTATATTGGAAATTATTGTTCCTAAGGTTGGCAACATTGAAAAATGTAATTAAGTGTCATGGCGTCCTTCAATAAAAGTGTGCATTCATTTCAAGCAGTTTTTTTTTATTATTATAAAGGCAAGTTATTTAAGCGTGCAAAGTACATCAAATGTTTTACAACATTATACTGATAATCCCTTTACCCCCTGTGAAGCCAGGTTAGATCACTTGTTGAATATAAAAAGTTAAGTATAAGGTTTTGATGATAAAATATGAAGAATATTTAGAAAAAACATACTGAATACTAACTTTTAGACTTTTCTGCTGCATGTATTATAAAGGATGGGATTATTTAGGTATATTATGATCACCAAGAAGCAAAAGAGGTTTGTTTGAATCGAAGTATTTGGGATTGCATTGTTTCTGCCTTCACTAATGGGAGACAGGCGTGACCATGGCTGGTGTAACCTCGTCGAAACGTCGAGATAACTCAGTAAAATTATTATATTTTACCTATTTACATCATTTGATTCTGTTAATTCTCGACTCTTATAAATCACAATATTGAATATTTTTAATAGTGATTTTGGGATTTGAAAGTAAAATTATAATTTCCTACATACAAATATAATAATGGTTATTATTATATTTGTATTTAGGAATATTGATATTTAGGAATAGGCCTAGAATTATCTTTGAATCGTATGACTAAAATAAGAATAGTTTTAGTAGGCACCGCTCGGAAAACAAATTTTAACCTCAAAATTTAAATGTAAACTTACCCTTTCTCACCGAGCCGCAGTTGCTTTTGTACTATTTTCAAACCATTTCTAATATAATTTTTGTGGCTAGTAGATTTCTTGATGAGTTTATAGATTTTTTTGCTAAGCTTTTTTGGTGCCATGGGTTTTGCGATCACACTACAGTGATCAACTTTATCGCTGTAGGATTGTGGTTCAGTTTTTATAGTGACATCATTTTCTTCAGTCTCAACTACTTCTTGTTTAATTTTCCCCATTTTAATTTATTTGTAAAAGTATTTGTAAAAATATTTTTCAACACGTGTTGATAAAATGTTTTTTAAAAAAAGTCGAGGATTAAGAGTAAAAGTGAGAGACACGCGACAGAAACGTCACTTAGCCTGACATTGACATTTCTTTAATGTTGTCAATAGGTTGTTTGGTTTTCGGCTAAACCAATTTAAAAGGCTTATTTTTTTTTCTTATATATTTATTTTATTACTATTTTTTCATTAGCATGTAGCGATGGGTATATTTTAATAATTAAAAGCTGAAATTTTAGTAATTAAACTATCCGGTTATTTGTGGTGTAATAACCGGTTAAATATTGACCCAATAGTCTTAAGCTAGCATTAATTAATAATCACGGCAACTGCCGTAGAAGGCGGATAAATGTAATCGTCAGTAAGTCCTCACTGCGCTATAATATGCTGAACTACGTACTACCTACGTACGTAGGTACGTAGCCACTGGGGATCGGTATAGCTACTTATCGCCATACCCATTAATTTTACAAATAAACTATAGAAATTTAAATTACTGTCATAAAATACTTGTGGTCAATATCTTTAGAAACTAGAAATTATTTTTAGAAACATTTTTTAATTTAGAGAGATTTTAGAAATCAGGGTTTCTTTATGTTTGAATGAATCTTAATTTGAAGATTAAATTGAAGTACAAGATGAGGTGAAAAAGAGCTTTAAAAGCTTTAAAAGTATATATGGGCAACACATTACTTTTATTAACTATGAATCGTCTAGAAATAGAAACCGTTTAGTTTTTTTTACCACTATATGGATAATAGTACTTTAGGGTTTACAAAAATAATTATTGAACCATTTATTTTCCATCTTTCTAGATATTTCTTCTGAAGATTAATCAGTTAAAAACTTTGGTTAAAGTACACACATATAATAAGTTCCTACCTATAATTAAAATATTATTAAAAAAGTTATAAGATGTCATTAGTTTCTAAACTCAATAATTAACGATTGTCATATCGTTTCTATGGTAACAAGAATATGTCAACAGCGACCAATTTGAAAGTCGGCATGTCAATGGAATAATTATAATTAAATTACGATGAAGTATTCGGCTTGATTATCAAAATAAATAAGATCAAGAGTTCTATGAATTTTACTTACAAGTTTTAAAACTATAAGAAAATGGTAAGTAACAATATAAACAAAATACACCTAATGTATGTATGTGTTGATAAATTTTCTTAACATTCCTTTTGCCATCTTATATTCTTAGCATAGTACGATAATTAAATGATGAAATGAAATAGAGACCTTTTTGTGTAAAGCTTTTGTATATATTTATGTAATTCCAGGGCTTATTAAGCATCTTGAAAAAGTTACGTTCCAATCCGGATAAAGAATTACGTTTACTTCTTCTTGGTCTCGATAATGCTGGCAAAACTACATTGCTGAAACAACTGGCTTCAGAAGATGTGACCCATGTTACTCCAACGGCCGGGTTCAATATTAAATCTGTATTATCCAGTGGATTCAAACTTAATGTATGGGATATTGGTGGGCAGAGAAAGATTAGGCCTTACTGGAGAAATTATTTTGAGAATACCGATATTTTGGTAAGTAAAAAAGAATATAATACAAACAATACAAGGTTGACTGGAAGAGATCTTTTCAACCCACCTGTGTATTTTGTCATTTTTTTTTAACTGGATATCTATATTAAATGACATACAGACAAACAAATTATACATTTTGTCCTATTTTTTGTTAATAAATTTATAATATCATTACACAGACAATCTCTCTGGTGTTGTTAGTATCTATTGGTTATGTTAATCGTTTATTATCAGGTAAGCTGCTTGCTTGTTAACCACTCTTTCATATAAATATACTGTTTAAATCAATGAATGAACAGGTAAGCAAGGATGGTACCTTGCTACACGCCTTTATGGTTTACACTTTAGGGTACACATTAAGGTCCCTTTTTTATACTACAAAAGCAAACAAGTATACAGCCCGTCTGATGATAAACATTTACTGTAGCGTATTTACCAGTTTGACAAAGAATTCTAAAATAGTATTAGTGATGGTGGTTTTTCTAATAATTGTAATATATAATTTGTCTTTCTTTTGTAGCCATCACAAATCTAAACTAATAATGTGGAAAGTACTTAGCCAATTTAGTTCTTTCAATTATAGAAAGCTACATTATCAACTAGTAACATGGATTGTATTTTATTTAAATAAATTTTAAAGCCAGTATGGTTTACTAGTGTATCATAATTTTAATTTAAAAGTACAAAAATTAATTTACAGATTTATGTGGTGGATTGTTCAGACCATCAAAGATTAGAAGAGACAAGTCAAGAATTAACAGAATTGCTACAAGACGACAAGTTGCGTGGCGTGCCACTATTGGTGTACGCTAATAAACAGGATTTGTCTACTGGTGAGTTGATCATATAAGTTGATCTATTGACTCAATGGATCAACTTTTAACAATTTAGCTTTTAAATAGGATTTAAAAATAGGAAAAGCCATGAATCAGACCATTTATAGATAGCTTATCAAGATACAACACTCCAGTTTGTAACTTGGACCACCAGGGATACAATAATGAAAACCAGATCTGATTTGATACAGTACTTTTTGTGTGATGCCAAAACAAACAGACAGATAAAAATAAATAAAATATATCATTTTTATTTCTTGCTGTTATTGAGAGCTCACATCAATTTTTTTATTAATATTGTTTAATATTTCCGATTCTCTACAATACAATATATAGTTACAATTTTATAACACTAGTGAGATATATATGTATAAAAACACATAGGGAATATAGGCAGAGAAAATATCTAGAAAATATGTAATTTCACATTGTAATGATTATTTCAGCGTTGCCTTCACCACGACAATGAAGTTGTCCGTGACATTTGGGCCTCCAAATTCCATCAGGTGACCGAACACCTGGCAGATACGCCGGATTGTGGCCCCGACTGACTTCTTCTTGTTCCCAAAAACCAAATTGGTGTTAAGGTTGTTTTTGGGGGACAATATTATAATTATTATTATCTATACCAGTGATTCTACAACCAGAGTGACTTTCAAGGAGCCTTCTGTGAAACGCCACAATTTATGTCAAATATTTAAAATTTTTGTCATAAACTATTTTTGCTTTTAGTGTGTTTAGTACAAACCTCGTATATATATTTATATATCAAGATAAAACATTTTTTTGTGTGGACCTTCAGGAAATTTTGAAAATTAGATCGATTAAAGTTTTTGTGTGATGTCAACAAAGAAAAGGTAGAGAATCACTGATCTATAAAATATATATTGATTTGATCACTTTGTCTTATTAAGATTATCAATTTTCTTAAATATTTCCCATTCTCTAGTTAAAATTTTATAATACTTGTGAGATATATATTTATAAAAACACATAGGGAATATAGACAGAGAAAATATCTACAAAATATATCACAGAAATGATTATTTCAGGTTGCCAATCCGCCTGAAACGTTGCGCAACATATTGGCAAAACCTCATCAGGGATCGCATAGGCAGATACAGGCGTGTGTCGCGACTGATGGCACTGGTTAAAGGTTGTTTACAATGATTATAATTATTAATCTATACCAGTAGATTATAGTTTTGTGTGCAAAACGTCGCAAAAGTGTGCCGCCAAATTTTGCAAATATTTAAAATTTTTGTCATAAACTATTTATGTAGTGTGTTGTAGTAAGTAAATAATTTTTATCTTTTTTTTTAGTGTGCCGCCAATTATGATATTTAAAATGTAACAAAGAAAAGTTATTTGTTTTATTATATATATTGATTTATTGTCGGTGCCGGATATAATGGGCCATCATTTAGATGTCGTAAGAGGCGATAAAGAAATCTCTGTTCAGAGATGGTTAGCAATCTCCCTCTTAAAATATCACCAGAGGTTCATCAAAAAGTGGCATATGAATCCGTTCCTTCAAGGTGGCAAATACTGCAAAACCTGACATAGGGTAGTGTTCAGGCGTGGACAGTTAAAGGCTGATATGATGAAACAGTTTAATTACGCCGTAGATTATAGTTTTGTGCAAAACGTCGCAAAATTATCTATAATATTCCAGTCCAATCTATTTTTAAGACAAGTACGTAGTAGGCAGAGTAAACGTAATGTAACTAATATATTAGTAAGCTGGCAATTATGATATTTTTTGCGAATGTAACAATGGTTATTTTTTTATTATAATTTATTTTTATATAACATTTAGATTGAATAACAAGATCTCTGAGAGATATTTCCCAAACACTACAGTATGGAAAGTTCATCAAAAAGTCGCCTATGAATGTTCCTTCCATGGTCGGCAACAGCAGTGACACTTCTAGTGTTGGAGGCGTCCATAGGTTACAGTGACTGTTTACCATTATAAAGGCTGAATGCTTGTTTGCCATCTCAAAAAATTCTGATCCGATTTTGATTAATCTTTTTATATGCGATAACACAGCCATATAAAATATATATTATTTTTTTTTCTAATTATTTCTTTTTAATTTACAGGAAGGTATGGAATGGGTTTGTAAGAATATACCAGTAAAGAAATAGCTTTCAGTTACTTATTATTTAATAGTAATTGTTAATTTATATTCTAAAACAAATTTAATTCTCACTAGAGATTTTTAATACTATAATTGATATTTTTAGGTATATATTGCATATCTCTTACAATGCGCGGAGAGTTAAGTTCTGGTCATGATATTTTGTATTATAATTATGTTATTTACTGTGGGAAATATTATGTATTTTATTGAGTTTTTGGGCATTTCACACTACATGTGCTCTAGTAATTGCCCAGGTATTTATTCTAAGTGGTTTTAAAAGAAGTATATTGTCAATTCTTAAACAGATTTCGATTATTCTTTTTTTGAATCAATATGGTTTTCTTCTGTGTTTGTTCCATATTCAATTTTCAAATGACTTCAAAACGAAAGAGGTAGAGAACCTTTTTTTCAGTTGATTTTTTTTTTATATTTAACAACATAACTGCGTCAGTTGTAAAACGATTTGAATTTTTTTTTTGAAATGGTAAACTTACAGATTGGTCCCATTCTTATCAATAGGGTTTTAGTTTTTAAACTAATTTTTTTTGCCATTATCGAAGTTGGTTTCTTTTGTGGAACACTCTTAAATTATTTTGTTTCGAAAAAGCTGTTTTAAACATTTTTTGTTCCGAAAACAATTTTACCGCGTTTTGTGTTCAAATTTTATCTTTGAAACATTTCTAATGTAATAAGTGTAGTGAGATTATACTAGTCAATATTATCACGATTGAAGTCACTGTTGTTGTTTTTTTTCTTTTTTTTTTTACTAAAGTTAAATATTATTTGTAAAAATTCCTCTTAAACTAATCAATTGGGTTGAATGGTGCAACGCAAGTGTGTCATCCGAGGCTTTCTATATTTATTATCGGTATTATGAACATATTTCTTAATTAGCGATGTATGCTTATTAAAATATAGAATTGTAAACTTGTTTTGTTTGCCTGCATAAAACGTATAAAAGAAAACATGTACATTTGATTATTTAATTCAAAATAAATTATTTATTAAATATATTTTATGAATTTGTATGAGAGATGAAATGATGTAATTAGAAGATTGTAAAAAAAAAAAAAAACTTGTAACTGTTTCTGTTTCTTGTCTATTTATTGTAATTATTAGTTCATTTATTCTTTAAATGTAAACCTCTTTGTCCTTCTGTATAAACTGCAATCGGGTATACCGATAGATACGTTATCGATACCGCATGCGTGCGATGAAACGAGACAGTGATACAGTGTGTCTTATTTTTTCTCATGCTCACACTAAGGAAAATGTATTTACCGATGTAGATATTCGTTTGCCACTTATGTAGGAGGACTGACTTTATTATTTATCTATATGTTCTGTGGCCTTTATTTTACACTAGTGACCCGCCCCGGCTGCGCATGGTTTTTAGAAAGTAAATTACGGCTCATATTACTCGCTAATAATGTAGCTCTCTATGTGTGAAAGAATTTTTTAAAACGGTGTAGTATTTTTGAGTTTACCCATTATGATAGAAAATGATATAATAATAACATTTATTGAATCCAAAAATACATGTTTCAATTTTACATTTGTTCCCAAAACTTCACACTAGGACTCCCTGTACCGTGAAGTCTTGGGCCCTCTTCTAATTATAAAACTTATTAACTAATATATAAACTACTAACTAATATATAAACTTTAGATACATAAACAATTTAGATTTATACACATTTTTACACACATATCTTGTCACATACACACACATATATATATATATATATATATATATATATATATATATATATATATACATACACACACACATATATATATATATATATATATATACATATACATACACATACACATACATACATATACACACATATACATACATATACATATACACATATACATACACATACATACACATATACATATACACTCTATAAATAATATAAATAATTTCATTTGATAATTTTTTTTTTTAATAAAATTGTAACTAGATACTGTCTTGATAAGAATAAAGTAGTAGAAGCTAAAATTCTTAGTGATTTAGTCTATATTGTTCTGACATCACGCAAAAAACGACTACACCATTTTAGATTAGCGATTGTTTCACATATAGAAAAATATATTTATAAGCAGCGAGTAACAATGACTGTATTGTAATAAAAAAAAAAAAAAATTAGAAATCTTCTAGCTATCTACACGTGTGAAGCCGGGGCGAGTTGCCTAGTTATATTTATATAGATTTCGATATAACACTAATGTTAGTTATATTTATACAGAAAGTAACAAATTGTACGCTATTATAATTCGAATCGCGTGTTAAAGACCTATTAATTGTGTTTATATAATGTGTAACGATAATAATGTGAAATAACATCGCGTGGAGAGGGTTCCGTACGATGATTATATGTTTTTTTTATACAACTCAGAATGGCAAACAAGCTGACGATCCACCTGATGGAAAGTGGTAACCGTCGCCTATAGACATGAGCAGTACCATGGACATAATAGAGTGTACCTACTGTTTCGCCCGTGACTCAGGTGTTATTCCTCTGTACCCTGTAAATTGTATATATATATATATATATATATATATATATATATATATATATATATATATAATGTATGTGCATGCAACATACATCCAATAAATGCATCAGCCTATCGACCTCAATAGCTCGTGAATACGTTACAAACCAGTTAGGGTTGTGGGCGTACCCATCGTGCTCACAACTGTGGATCCGCGTTTGTTGTGCTCTCAGTTTGTTTGACATTCTAAGTTGCATCTAACTTACAATGTGTAAAGTTGGCCTTATGTACATTTCGATTTATGTTTCTTAGAAAAAGTTGCTTTGCTTCATGACCACTATTGCTGGATGTCGGTTTGTTATGTATACATATTATATTGTATCGTCTATGTGTGTATTTAATATTTTCCTGTGCAATCTTTATGTGCTTTAGAATTATAATTATTAATTAATGTAACCAATTCTATGCCCATCGATTTAACGTCTAGTGAAATATATTCCGTCCGTTTTACGTTTAGAGTGAAATAAAATATTTTTACACATAAATTAATTATGCTTAGAGTAATATTAAAATTTTACTCGTTAAGTACTTTTTCTAGTCACAAAAAGTATAAGTAATGAAGGTTATAATTAAGATAATGAGGTGTTATTAAATTAAATGCTAATATTTTTAATTTTTAGGGTTGCCATATTTAATTTAAAAAGTGCTAGAAGCAACAATGCTTTTAGCACTTTTTAAATTAAATATTTTTTTAAGTAATTCTAATTTGGTATTAAAAGTATATAATTAATATGTTGAAGGTTATAATTGTTAATGGGGTAGTCAGTGGTAATTGTTGGCTATTATTGTGCGAGTGTATTTGAATCCAACCTTGCAAGGGGCGAGCCTCATGTTATGTGGATCTCCACACTAATGTTTTACCAAAAACAAGGCAACTTTGATTAATTCCAATGACTCTTTTATAATATAAAAAGGGCCTACTTTAGTATGGTGTCATATAATTGTGATTAATATAACAAATATATACATATAACAAATATCTTCCCCATAAGGGGAGTTTTGCCAGTAATTGCTACGCTTGGCAGGCGGTTTGGCAATGCTCGTTAGGATTTGGTGATATTTTAAGAGGGACGCTGCTGCTCATCTCTCGACCATTTCGTTAACTTAATCGCCTCTTACGACACCCACGGGAAAGGAAGGGGTCGCCTATTCCATGCTGGGACCACATTGCAGTGTTATAATATTTGCCTTTAATTTGACAACACCTTTTTACGAAAGATTTTGAATTATGTAACGTGTAGTGTGTATTTTATTATAATTAATTAATAGTTCAATTATTACACTCTTGTTTGATTTAGGATACTTAATTATAGAGTTTCTTCCAATTGAATAAATAATATTGTAACTGTATCAGACTTTTATTTAAATAATTAAACACAATTTTTTTTTTAATGCTGTCAACACATAATTGACATAGTAATACAATAGGAAATAATACAATGTTAAAATTGTTAGACGTCATATTTTATACAATTTTATTGGCAGAATTGAATTTATTATTATATTTATTTATCATATAAAATTATTTGAGTAAGATAATGAAGTATGTATGACATCATATATATTTCAGATAAGTCTAGATCTGTAGCTATGTTTAAACCAATGTTCTGAACGGATTTCTATATATTTAAACGATTCGTTGATTTAATATACAAAGGGATAAACAAAATAAACATTTACAATCGATCATAACTGGATTTATATTAAATACATGTCATAATAATTATCAAATATTTATGTATTAAAATATATCTACTTACTAATTAACTTATATTTTTCGAAAATCAGTTGACTATTAAAATAAAAACATAAGTTCTAGGTAGATAGATAAGTGGTCTTTACTAAAATTATTTTCAATTGGTTTCTTTATTATGTCTCTAATACTTATTCGCCATTATTTCAGCTAATTATGGTCTACGTCTTAACACAATCTTCCCTCATAGTCTTTTATAAGAAATAACATTAAATATTATGAAGGTTATTTAATTGAAAAATACACGTTATTTTACATAAATTGTAATTGAAATAATCCTACATGTGTTTAAAATTCAATGAACTGAAAAGTTACAAGATGATTTTTTTTTAAATTCTGCTTGGAGTTATTTTGGGGGTTCAGCTTCGAATCCATATTCTTGTTTAAGAAATAAAATGATAAACAGTGACGGTAGAGAGAGAGAGAGAGAGAGAGATTCAAAGTGAATTACAACAGTATTTTAGCACCAATGGTCCAGCATAAATTATTATTTAAAACTAAGCCATTTTAGTTTTCAGAGCGATCAATATCACTATTGATCGGGCAAAATGTAAAATATTCACGAATAGTCCGCATTGCCCGGCCAATTTAGATAATTTATAGTGACCTAATCGCCCGCAGTGTCTACCTAATCTAAATATAGTCACAAAATATTTTCAAATACCTATATATTGTTAGTAGAAATGAATGAAATTGTTAATTAGAAAAATGCTAAAAAGTAGTACTTATATTTGAAAATATAAGTGTTTTGTGACATACAGAATTATCAAAATTAAGTGTAAAATATCACGGCAGATTAAGTACATACAACATAATTTTTTTTTAATAAAATGTAATGTAAACTTTGTTAATATGTAATAATAACAATAATGCTATTTTATAGTAGAAACTTCTTAGAATAAAAGAAAGAATATTAAGAAATATTAGTATACTAGCCGTTTCCCGCGGCGTTGCCCGCTTCTAACTATGCAGTTCCCATATATCATTTCCATTGGAACTCTTCATGAATCCGGTCTTATATTGTTTATGCTTACGTGATATTTACGTACCTAATACCTTCATAAAGTTTCAGCCAATTCAACTGATTGTTTATTTTATAGCATTTTATATGTGATTCTTTAGATTGATATAACTTTTTTATTTATGAATCGATGGAAATAAAACAAATACTAAATGTTAAGTGAAGTAAACCGCAACGCATTAGTGAAAACCGCGCTCTATTCTGAACCATTTTTGAGATTAGCATGCATAAACGTACAGACAAACTATTGTTTTGGGTTCAGTTGCTTTCATAAAGCCTCCCTATTATAATTTTTTCTTATATATCTTCCATGTACAGACAGTGACCAGTTACGATTTTATTATATGTATTAATTAATTAATTCAACAAAAATTGTGTAAGACAGGAGTGAATTTTGATGTGATTCCTTTTATTTTTTAAATGTATTGAAAAGAGAAGAATTAATATGCAATATTGTAACTAATCATTATTATATATTATTACATATTTGCAAAGTTTGCTATAAATTTGGTTTCTAATTTGAGAATTGGTCATCATTGTTAAGTCACATTTACTTTTAAATTGTCAATTTCAATATATAATAATAATAATAAAAAATATATATATTTCCCATATTTTTTGTTACTACTTTTAAGAAAATTACAGTAAATTTTATAATATTAATTAAATAATTTCAAAATTATTAGTAGGCACACGTAGTTTCTTAATGCTTTAACCGCAGTAAGTTAAAACAATTATTTAGTAGCAATGTTATACAAAATTATACGTATTTAAATAAAAAATAATAATATTTCAAAGATATTTTATTTATATATTTTATTATAGTATTTAATTCTCAAATAGGAAACCACTTAACAATATATAAATTAATTTAAATTATTTATTATTTAAATTAGTTTATATTTATTTATAATTCACTGTGATAAACTTCGGTTGTCACTTTTAATTCGTGTTCGTGGAACGCTGTGCAGTCGGCTGGATATGTGGCCTGGAAAACAAACGGTTATTTAGGATATTAAGTATCAGTTTTTATAATCTTTCAATTTAATAGTGCACCGCCTATTTATTTCTCTGTTCATCCAATGGTTGACTGGTAGAGAACACCGTCCGGTGTTAAGTCCTACAAATGTACATAGAATTTCACTGCGCATTAAAGTTTATATAAATAAATAAATATCTCAAATAATATCAGGACTAAATAAATATCTCAAATAATATCAGGACTAAATAAATATCTCAAATAATATCAGGACTAAATAAATATCTCAAATAATATCAGGACTAAATAAATATCTCAAATAATATCAGGACTAAATAAATATCTCAATTAATATCAGGACTAAATAAATATCTCAAATAATATCAGGACTAAATAAATATCTCAAAAAATATCAGGACTAAATAAATATCTCAATTAATATCAGGACTAAATAAATATTTCAAATAATATCAGGACTAAACAAATATTTCAAATAATATCAGGACTATGTGGTTAGTCTATTTTTTTGTATGATGATGATATCAGCCGTCAATTATCCAATGCTGAACATTGGTTTTCCTTTTTGGGGGATTTTACCAATAAATTTATTTACCAGAAGGAGACATTGTACAAAAGTCGATTGCTTGGGTACCTCTGTCCCATTCGTGTTTCAACCGTAAAATAGTGGTGTCTGCATGGCTGTGTTTCGGTTTGAAGGGTGATATGGCGTGAATTTACAGGGTACAGAGAATAACACCTGAGTCCTCAGGAATGGCAACGCATGAATTCATGGGCGAAACAGTATACACCTATCCCCCGATTTACACGGTACAGACACGGAATAACACCTGAACACGTGCGCTGTGTACACATCTCACGGAATGGCATATGCTGACTGCTGCACATGCACACTGTGTCTGTATCGCATAAAAGTATCATTTGAGGAAAGTTTCACAGTGTCAGAACATATTCGTAAATTACAAGTGAGTGCTAATTAAGTTTTTATAAATTAACATAAATAAAAAAAAAAAATTATAGGCTATAATGTGTGAAAAGTTATTTCTTTAGAAACTAAAATCGAAATTTTGAGAAATATTTAATTAAATAAAAAAACAGTGTTTCCGTAATATATTACATATTTTAACCTGTCAATGCATTTTATTTTTATTTCTGTGTACACCTAAAAATATTGAAAAAAATCACAACTGTTAAATAGCAAAATTTTTTTCCAAGCTTTTCGTATTTCTGATCAAAATTTTTAATTTTCGATTTACTTTTTCTCAGGAACGTATCTAAGTTAAATCTCTATAATGTGTGTGCCAGGAGAATAAGAGAATGTAAGACTTTTGTACAAAGTTTCTCTTTGGTAAGAGAATGTAAGAGAAAGGAGAAACATACCTCGCAGTTGACATCGTTCTGTATAGCGTTGTATAGATCCCAGAAACCTCTGCCGTTCTGGTAGCTGAGCGCTGCCGAAGCAATGAGACTGCTCAGCTTTGTCAATCCTGCCTTGAAGCCTGGAAGATCTAGAAACAAATGAAATATATATGTATATATATATACATATACATATGTGTTAGTGTATGTAATATATAGTTTTTTTTATACAACTTAGAATGGCAAACAAGCTAACGGTTCACCTGATGAAAAGTGGTAACCGTCGCCTATAGACATGAGCAGTACTATGGACATAACAGAGTATACTGTTTCGCCCATGATACCCCCATGCGTTGCCATTCCTGAGGACTCAGATGTTATTCCTCTGTACCCAGTAAATTCACGCCATATCCCACCCTTCAAACCGAAAAACAGCCATGCAAACACAACTGCTTCACGGTTGAAATACGAATGGGACAGAGATACCCAAGCAATTGACTTTTGTACAAAGTCTCCCTCTGGTAATAATATATATCCCATTCAGACCCAAGATTTTTTTTCTTTCAGATTAAATATATTTTCGTGTTTTGGAGCCAAGCCATCTTGCCGGCACGCACGAGACTACTGTACCACCTAACCGCTAAAACGATTTCTTATTGGCTGGTTTAGAATCTCACTATCATGTTATTTCAGCTACGTGCGTAAAAATGAATTGCGCGCGGTTTTAGAATTTTTTAAAGTTACTTGTATTGTTCAGGTCTGAAAGGGATATACATATTTTCGTAGTAAACGCACCGCCTACTTAATTTTCTGCTTTCCTCATGGTTAACTGGTAGAGAACGGCGTAAAGTGTTAAGTCCGCCATATTTACACTTACTTATATAATTGTGCATCGAAGTTTAAATAAATAAATAAATTTATTATTATTATTATTAAGATGGCTAATATAATTTTTTCTTAAATATCTCCTATGTACAGATATAGTTTTACTACGATTTTATTATACGTATGTGAAAGTTTGTGAAAAGTTACGCCTAAATGGTTGAACGGGTTTTAATATTGGACCCGTTTCACGCAAAGGGAATACGGAATGCATCGCATTCCTTCTTATAGAATCAATACGAATTTATATTACTTTTACCCGTGGCTTCGTTCTCGTGACTAGAATAGAATTTGAAAACAACCTATATTATTCTCCAGACCATTATATATGTATGTATGTATGTGTGTGTGCGCGTGTGCGTGTGCGTGTGCGTGTGCGTGTGCGTGTGCGTGTGCTGTGTTGTGTATGTGTGTGTGTGTGTATCAATTGTGGTTGAGCCGTTAAGGCGGCGAGAGGTAACAAATAAACAATCTCTTTTTCATTTTACTTGTCAGAAAAACAGGATTAACTTACGTGTATTTTAAGCCAGAATGTACGACACAGTTTCGGGACCATATGGGACATATAATCCGGTTTTTCTTAAAGTAATAAGTAGCAAAACCAGTTATTTTGATTTAAAAACCAAACTACTAAATCGATTTCGATTAGATTTTAATGGGACCAAATTATTCTTTCAGATAAATAAAAAAAGAATTTTCCAAATATGTTTACAACTGACGGAGTTATCAGGTAACAAATATAAAAAAAAATACAATCGAAGTGAAAAGATACTTCTATTTGAAGTTATTGCGTGAATTTACTGGGTACAGAGGAATAACACCTGAGTCTTCAGGAATGGCAATGCATGTGGGGTATCATGGGCGAAACAGTATACTCTGTTATGTCCATGATACTGCTCATGTCTATAGGCGACGGTTACCACTTTCCATCAGGTGGGCCGTTAGCTTGTTTGTCATTCTAAGTTGTATAAAAAAAAGTCGGTTGAAAATATAATGTGTACTTTTAACAAAAAACTTTTCACATTTTAAACATAGGAATGTTTACCCGCGACTTCTTTCACGTGGCCAGGATGTGTTGATTGATCGAAATATAAAGTACTTAATTTTTTTTCTTTTTCATTTAAAATACTGTGTGTACAAGTACAAAATTTCGACTATTTTTGACAACTGATTGAGCAGTTAAGGTGTCAATGGCATGATGTAGGTAACAAACTCACATAGGTATATTTAATTGTATCCACAATTGGACATGTTTGCCTCCAACTTGCTGGAGTTTCGTCGGATGACTACAAAGTGTTTGTGTTCTGAGATTTAAGATATTGTTGTTATTATTGTTAATTGATTAAAATGTAATTAATATTATTACATTTAATTATACATATGTTTTACTGTATTGATGCTTTCCTGAGTGAGTGTATTGAGAAACTGTTAAGCCAGAGGGAGACTTTGTACAAAAAGTCGATTGCTTGGGTACCTCTGTCCCATTCGTGTTTCAACCGTGAAGCAGTTGTGGTTGCATGGCTGTGTTTCGGTTTGAAGGATGGGATATGGCGTAAATTTACTGGATACAGAGGAATAACACCTGAGTTCTCAGGAATGGCAACGCATGGGGGGTATCATGGGCGAAACAGTATACTCTGATATGACCATGGTACTGCTCATGTCTATAGGCGACGGTTACCACTTTCCATCAGGTGGGCCGTCAGCTTGTTTGCTATTCTAAGCTCACTCAGTTGATGAAATAAATAATACTAGTTTTTATTTATTCTACTTTAATGTACATAACGAAGTTTATACATGGCGGTTATACTTCTAAAGAACGGCTCTTTAGCAATCAACCATGGAGCAAACAGAGGCAATTATTAAATAAATGGGAACCGCACGCACCCACGCACGCACGCCCGAACGCACGTACGCACGCACGCACGCACGCACGCACGCGCACTCACACACACACACACACACACACACACACACACACACACACACACACACACACACACACACACACACACACACACACACACATGCGCACACACATGCGCACACACTCACATGCGCACACATGCATATACAGTACAATTTACTCACAACGTAGTCAGCGTGATAGGTGTTTTTTATTGAGAGAGATAAAATATAGCCTACATCTTTCTTCATCCCATATAGTATGTGTTTACAAAATATCATAGCGATTGGTTAAGCTGTTAGACGCTATAAGGTAATAAACAAACAAACTCACTTCACATTTATATTTTTTAGTTTTAGTAAGAAATTTATTATTATTTTTATTATTAGTAAGAGTAAGAAATTAATTAGTGAATTTGCTGTGTGGTCCCGGCATTGAATGGGTCACCCCTTCCTTTCCCGTTGGTTTCATAAGAGGCGACTAAGGAAACTTAATGGTCGAGAAATGAGCAGCAGTGTCCCTCTTAAAACATCACTAAAGCCTGCCTACAGTTACCAATCTACCTGCCAACCGTGGCAACTACTGGCAAAACCCCCTTATGGAGGAAGCCTATCTCTAGCATTGGACAGTTAATGGCTGAAATGATGATGCTGATGATAAAATAACAAGTGATAAAGCATTTCAGAATTCGCAGTAAGTACCTATAACTCTGTGTTGCCATATAAAAATCGAAAGATAAAGAGTATTAATGTAAAAGGCTATACGTCGAGGACAAACATAATGTCAATTTATTCCACGGACGAGGACATAAGATCAAATTATGGGTAATACATTTAGGAGAAAGAAATAATGAATTTAGTCGTCCTGTACAACCTTCAAGCTAAGAGGACATTTAGTTGACCCCTAATTTTTTCTAAGTACCTACATACCAGAGGGAGACTTTGTACAAAAGTCGATTGCTTGGATACCTCTGTCCCATTCGTATTTCAACCGTGAAGCAGTTGTGTTTGCATGGCTGTGTTCCGATTTGAAGGGTGGGATATGGCGTGAATTTACTGGGTACAGAGGAATAACACCTGAGTCCTCAGGAATGGCGACGCATGGGGGTTATCATGGGCGAAACAGTATACTCTGTTATGCTCATAGTACTGCTCATGTCTATAGGCGACGGTGATCACTTTCCATCAGGTGGGTCGTCAGCTTGTTTGACATTCTAAGTTGTATAAAAAAAAATACATATTTCTTATTAAGCAATAGAATAAATATATTTAAAAAAAAGAGAGATTCCACTCTTAGTTTATATAGATAGAGTGTCTCCATAGAAATGCTTCGAGTAAAACTAGTCAATTTTTTCATACAATTTTGCGTGATAAATAGTTATGAGTGATTCCTTTATAACCTCTATATTTATATTTTCTTATAAATTCTGCATCTTTTTAATGCGTAAACATTCATTTTGTTTATTAAATAATACGTCAAGATACATTTTATGCGTAAGTATATAGAATGCTGATAAAAAACGAGTCAGTTAATTTGACAATTAGCTGACAAAAAGTTGACTTGTTATTGAGGCATCGAGCCTCATGAAATAATAATTATTATTATTATTGTTATTTCAGCCGTATTGTTATTTCAACTGTCCACTGTTGAACCTAAGCCTTCCCCATAAGGGGAGTTTTCCTAGTAGTTGCCACGCTTGGCAGGCGGGTTAGCAATCGCAATTAGACTTTTAGAGATGTTTTAATAGGGACGCTGCTGCCTAACCCTCGCCGTCCCTTAGTCCACTCTTACGACAGCCACGGGAAAGGAAGGGGTGGCCTATTCTATGCCGGGATCACACGGCGAAATGAGAGTAATAGAAGCCAATATATAATTTTAAAATTTTTCGCTGTCTATCTGATTGTATGTTTGTTTCAGTATCACATGAAAATGAATATTGCATCTAATGGAGTTTTAACAGTTTTTTTTTGACAATTTCTTTTAGTTAGATTTTTAAATCTGGTGTATGTTTTATCTTGATACGCCATCTAGAAGTAATCTCGCATAATGGTTTTCCTACTTCAATAATGAAAGATTGTGTTTCACAGATAAACTGATTTCAACTGTAATAAAACTAGTTATTTTTATGTATAAACAAAAATATTTAAACGATTTTGATAAAATTTCTATGAAACCAATCTATAAGTATATCCTTTCAGATAAAAAAGATCCACATCGATTTAGAACTGACGAAGTTTTGAGGTAACAATAGGGTTGCCAACACTCCCGGATTGCCTGAGAGACTCTGGTAATAATGGTTAACCTCCCAACCTGGGGGAAAGGGATTGTTAGTAATGGAGTTTGACAGCCCCATTGCTAGCAATATGCCCTATTAGGTCGACCTCCACGTGGTTCCCCCTGGAAACTATCGTGAACAATTCTTGTTGAATTCGTCACGATGGGCTAACTGACCTGCTTCATATCCTCACCTATCATCCTTCACTGGTGCCCCGCCGGTGTATACCGATAGTGCGGGTGGGGTTACCATTCAATTATCATCCATTAAAAAAAACTTCCCGACCTTCTGGAGTGCAATAATTTCTCCGGTTAACTCTCACAAATAATATTAACTGTTGGTATGTACTTAAAAAGAAATAAAACAAAACATATGCAAAAAAAGCAAACAACTTGCTCGCTTTACGGTCTCTCATGCTTCAGCATGATGGAGCAAGCATGGAGAACATAATGAAACCAAATGAGTATTTCTTAAGTAAATACAGAATTACAAGTACTAACAAACTTCGATTTCCATGTAAAAACTTTTATGATTTTGTGGTCAAAACCAACATACATTAAATGCTACTCGAAAACAAAATAAATATAATTTTAAATATTAATTAATGATTTTGTATTAATAACCTCTCCTTCTCGATAAAATTCTTAAACATAAAAATCTCCCGGGTTTGTCCTTTCGAGAGTTGGCAACCCTAGATAACGAACATAAAAAAATACAGCCGAATTGAGCATTTTCTTTTTGAAGTTGGTTAGTAATGGAAGACTTTTCACTAACCTCGTTTATCCTGATCATGGTGTCTGTTGACTAAGCACATGAGATGCTCTTGGCAATGTGGCGCTTCTATTGAATGTTTGTATGCTCTGTAGACTCGAAGCACCGGTTCTATCACTTCCAAGTTCAGGGTGTCTGTAATTCTGTCAACTAGGACATTGTAGTCGCCGCGGCTGGCCAACGATTGGGAGGTCGATTCCGCCATCTTTAGGGTTTGCTGAAAAGAAAATGAGATAGAATTTCATTAACAAATCTAGGTATTCTATTGTTTATTACACATGTTTTAAAATCTTGTTAATGTATAAATTTTTAAATTATTATAAATCAAATAATAATAATCCAATAATGTGATGAGGGTGTTTATAGAAACGTTAAAGGGAGACTAAATTGATAGGTTATTTTAATTCGTATTTCTGCTGCTGAGCGACTAAGCTTGCATGGCTGTGTTTCAGTTCGAAAAATGAGGTTATTACTGCTAAACATTGGCTTGGGGGGAAGGGATTGTTAGTAATGGAGACTGAGAGTCCCATTGCTAGCAATATACCCAACCAGGTCGACCTCTTCGCGGTTCCCCCTGGAAACTATCATGGTTAATTCCTGATGAATTCATTATGATGGGCTAACTGGCCTGTTTTCATTCTCATCTATCACCCCTCACTGGTGCTCCACTAACGTATTCCGTTAGCGCAGGTGGAGTTACCATACCATTTTCACCCATCAAAAAAAAAAAAACATTGGCTTCTCCCTTAGGAGGTTTTGCAAGTAGTTGCCACGCTTAGCAGACGAGTTGGCAACCGCAATTTGACTTTGATGATCTTTAAGAGGGACTCTGCTGACCGTTCGTCGACCATTAAGTTCCTTTAGTCGCCTCTTACGAGATTCACAGGAAAGGAAGGGATAGGTCATGGGCAATGAGATATGGCAGTGAAATTACTGAATTTGGATACATAATACCCTTCCGGAATGGCAACGTATGAGAAGTTCCATGGTGGTTACCGAATATTCTTCCATGATGCTGTTTGTTTATAGGTGGTTAACTTGTATGCTCTTTATAGTTATTAAAAAAGTGATGGCAATTAGAGATCTAATATCTATACAGTATATGGAAATATTGATCCACACAGAGTGAGTGATAGATAAGACTTACTATCTTATGTAGTTGTAAGCGAGAAATGATGAGGAAAGTTGCTCGAGAGAATCTTCCTAAAACTTATAGGGTTGGCTACAGCAAGTTTGGGAAGGGTGGATTGATATTAAACTAATACAGAGGCCAAATTAGAAATATTTGAAACTAATCAGTCTATGTGAATATATCTTTACGAATGTAAAGGTAATAAAGAGTATATCGATTTTTTTTTAGTCTTTGCCTATTTCAAAGAGGAAAAGCACGACAATTTAGCACTATTTACTTACCTTAACATATACAATTGCGGGCTCCACATATCCGGACACGTCAGTACTTATATCCAAATATCGCTTCAGCACATAATTGATGAGGGACGTTAAAGATTCTGTAGGTCGTTTTAAATTGAAGTGCGTACTCTTTGGCAAGCCTTGCGCGTCGAGGAACCCATTTAGAATGTATTGAGCCGACGATAGATATCTGAAAAATAAATGGGTATACTTGTCATCCAATTTGGCAGGGAATTTAAAATCATAATAGGGAATAATTAAATTCTGATATGATTCCACGATTTCCATTGCTGCTTGAATTTGACAATTCCACTTGTTCCTATCAATGTTTTCGCACCGGGGGTAATTTAAATGTAAAAATGAGCATTCCAAATTGCCCTGGATCTAGGCATTCTGGATGATGTCTTCTATAATTTTGAGGGCTAGATAAATTAATGTGATTAAGTGGTACTTATTACCAATAATATTATTATTATTATATTATGCTCATGTCTATAGATTGTATCTAATTATTAAGTAATTACTGTATCTAATTGTTATCACTTTCCATCAAGTGGGCCGTCAGCTTATTTGTCATTCTAAGATGTATAAAAAAATCTTTCTACTAGACTAGCAACAGATAACGTTCTGTGTCATATAATAATATTATTTCTACTAACCTTTCGTAGACTTCTGGTTTAGATATTTGTACGGCCATATCTGTTAGATATTTAGCGGCTGTTTTGATCCAGTGTCTTCTAAACGAATGATTTTCAAAATTCTTGAACATAATTTCGAAACTGATCTTGCCATCGGGTCCGGTGAAAGCTTTCATTACTCGTCTTATTCCGGACTTCTCCCAAATGGTCTTTCCAAGTTCGGAGTTGATGAATAGGTCCCAATACAAATGAGCTTTTTCCAAAAATGGTGGTAAAAACGTCGCATGGTCTTTATGATTTTCTGCTCGTTTCTGGGCTTCTGGATTCGAAAATGAGCTTAATGTGTTCATTATTAAAGGTAAAATTCCTGCTCCTGCTTCTGAATTTTTGTTGCCTAAAAACCCTGATGCTAGACTTAAAATACTTTCTAGATTTATATCGTTTTCCTGATTGGATTGTCTTTTTTGTCTATTGCTCTGTGGTTTAGTATCTGCATTGGAGCCCATTTGCGATGCAAACATGGATATCATGGAACCAACTAATGCCGGATCTATTTTGCCATCCTGACCCCCAAGTAAGTTGCCAAGACCTGTAAAGTGAAAATTTAAATTATTAAATTTTCTAGTCGTGGATTACTTTAAATATTTCACTTGTACCTAGTTTCACGGGAACAAGTATGTTATTTATATAAGTTACTAGTTTCAATGCAATAATGATGAACAATGCCTGAGGATAATAACGTATTGAAACACAAAAAAGAATTAAAGTCTTTTCGTTGTTATTTTAATTGTAAAAGTTTCTTTCGGTTTTAATTAGTATCCGCTTATTACTATTTATATTTTGAAATGAATAAATCCACTTTTTTTTTAATATAAATGTATATAATATAATGAATAATATATATATGCTGAAGAACGTATATGGTTATACTTTCTAATGACCATGTAATTTAGATGGTTCATTTAAATAATTATATAACTATTTATAATAAATAAATATATATAAATAAATAAATTAAATATATATATATATATATATATATATATATATATATATATATATATATATATGTGTAAAGAGCGATTAAAAGTGTGTACTTGTGTCTGAATAAAGTGATTTGTGTAGTGATTGTGCGTGCGTGCGATGCTGCGTGTCGTTTTCATTTGTTATACGTGTGTGTAAAATGTGCTTACCTGTGCGTGCGTGCGTGCAAATGACGATTTAAAGAGTGTACCTATGTAGTGCTTGTAAACAAGTCTATTTGAATAAAGATGATTTGAATTTGACGATTATATTAAATAATGTAGTCAGATTTATTGTGCTGTAGATTGGAAAGACTTGAGATATTTATATTCTTGAGTAGCAAAAATTTATGATGCTAGGGGAGAGCCCGCCGTAGTCGTTTTCATTTGTTGTACATGTTTTCCATCACCGGAGAATTAAATTGACATAAAATGCAAGAAGACTATGTATTTTCTTACCTGATAAAACATCACCAGCATTTCCATTTGCGGTATTTTGGCCCAACATAGAACCAAGGGTCTTTGCGTTATCGCCCTGCATCAATGAACCAACTATATTTCCAATGGCAGACAAACCATTCAGGTTGTTGCCATTTTCCCCCATGTTTTGGATAAATGAGGATGCCAAATCCAGGAATGGGTTCTCATCATCGCTGCGTCCTCCCAGGATTGGCAGCGTTAAAATTTGACAGAGTACCAGTAGCAAGACTACTTTCGCCATTTTGTATCTGGAAATCAAAGCATGAAACAGATTAATTTTAGAATTCCCCCCCCCCCCATTGTAAACTGCCATAAGGAATGGCTCCGTTCCTTATGACATTCCCAATTATGGCATTCTCAATGTCCTCTACCCAAAGGTTGTCTGGAAGAGATTGCCTAGCGATAAGGCCGTCTTTTGTATTACTCCTTTTTATTATATATTGTATGTATAATTTTTTACTTGATGCATAAAGTGTAAAATAAATTTAAAAAAAACTATTATTTTTAATTTATGGTATGCGGAAAATAAATTTAAAAATTTATATGGCACTGTAATAAGGCTTATTTTGCTACGTTATGTTCAAGAAGGTGCAATTAAGGAGAGATTTGGATGGGTCGATCTCAGAATCGTCCAATACCCATCCCAAGATCAGGAGCTGAGCTTTTAAATATACGCAAGAACATGTCTATGGAACAAAACATTTTAAATCATATTTACTGGGGTGCATGGCAATTTGTTCATGCCTGAATTTTCATTTAATGTTAGACATCCTATATAAAATAATTCTAAACTGGCTTTAAAAAAAAAAAGTAATTCAATTGAGCAATTATCTATATACCGACTAATTATGACAATGATAGCCATTAGTTTTTTTTTTGTAATTATGGTAATACATTGTACTAGCTTTATTTCGTGGCTTTGCTTGCATTAATCAGTACATTAAGTATCCTATGTGCTAAGTTAGGATATAAACTATTTGTGAACTAAATTTCATTCAGATCCGTTCAGTAGTTTTTGCGTGAAAGAGTGATAAACATCTATCCATTTTATTATCAATCTATCGTTGCAAACTTTTGCATTTATTATATAAACAGGATTTTTTAGTTGTTACTTCTGTACAAACCACTTTTACTGTACATAAATATTAAAGTTGTATACATTTTAATGTATAGTTTTATAACTATTGTGAAATTATTACTGCACGTAAAACAGCGTGGATATCAGGAATATATTGTAGTTTGAATTACTTTTTCTTAGAAAAAAAAGCTGGTCAATTGCGAGTCAGAATCGCGCAACGAGAGTTCCGTACAAAAACATCAAGTTTAAAAAATTACGGTTTTCGGATTTTTTCCTTTACTTATACTACATGACATTATTTCTTGCCAAATTTCATGATTCTAGGTCAACGGGAAGTACTCTATAGGTTTTGATTCCCTTTGCGAATGTCAAAATATACGATATAAATGGAACATAAACGGTCGTATCTTTTGATTGCGTCGATTTAGAAGCTTGGTTTTTTCTTGCTTTAACAGATTGCAGACCTGAGTATATGATATTAATTTCAGCTTCATACCTCCACACGTTCATAAGAAAAAGTGTCTTGACAGACGGACGGGCGAACAATAAAGCGATCCCATAATCCCTTTTTTCTTTTGCGGTAAGGAACCCAAAAAAGTTTTTAGACAAGTGTCAATTTCTTGCAAAGGGGTTTAATATAAGAAGAATAAAAGTTTCCCAAAAATTTCGCTTAAGATTCGGGGAAATATTTTTTTTTTAATTTAAGTACTGGAAATTAATGAAAGTGCCACGGAGATTTTAAATTCTGTTCGCGCCATTAGAGCGTGAACGACAAAATGGACGAATGGATAATGACGATAATATAAATTTTTTTAGTTACAATTTTGTGTGGTATACCAGTGTTGCGTCCCATATATGGTAGCGCTGCTTTTGGGTCAGTGGGCCTCTAGGCTACATCTACGATGGGAACCCTATTTTACGCACAAAATAGATTATTATAATTTAAAATTTAACACTATAGTTACAAATTTATTTTCTGTTATTAAATTTTTAATAATTTTACACAAATTGGCATAAAATTAAGTACCCACTTCTTCATTTACTTAATTTTCTAATCGATTTTGTTCATTTGTGGTGGCGACCCCTTTGTGGTAGAGGGCCCCTGGGTCATAACCTATGTAGTCTATATTTAAATGCAACGCTGGTTCCATAAACTCTATTTACTAATATTACGAATGCTAAAGAAAGAAATAATTCATTCAAAGAATCATACAATCCACACAGTAGCATATAAAACAAGAACAAAACAAACAAATGTATGGTAACTCCATTTACCACCAGACGGGCCATATGCTTGTTTACCATAACAGTAATATAAAAAAAAGGTTTCCATAATAAAAAGCGTCTACTGTTTTTCGCTCAATTAAAGCCTAAAAGAAAAGTGAGTTTGTTTGTTACACCATAGCACTTTAATAGTTGGAATAATTGATATAAATGTGGGATGTAGAAGGACACCAGCTACTGTTAATCTCGGCTGATTAAAATATCCTGCTTATGTGGACAAGGTCTAAGATTAATTACCAGAGGGAGACTTTGTACAAAAGTCGATTGCTTGGGTACCTCTGTCCCATTCGTGTTTCAACCGTGAAGCAGTTGTGTTTGCATGGCTGTGTTTCGGTTTGAAGGGTGGGATATGGCGTGAATTTACTGGGTACGGAGGAATAACACCTGGTCCTCTGGAATGGCAACGCATGGGGGGTGTCATGGGCGAAACAGTGTATTCTGTTATGTCCATGGTATTACTCATGTCTATAGGCGACGGTTACCACCTTACATCAGGTGGGCCGTCAGCTTGTTTACCATTCTAAGTTGTACAAAAAAAAAGATCGGAGGTAAAGCTAGTATTCGTATAAATTGTATAGGGTAGGTGTATTTTTAAACGATTTCCAAATAGAAGACGATAGAATCGAATACTGGTTTTAATCGCCTATTTTTCTTCCCGTTTTTTTTTTTAACATAGAATCTTCTCCATAAGAGGGGTTTTGCCAATAGTTGCCATGCTTGACAATTAAGTTGGCAACCGCAGTTAGGCTTTGGTGCTGTTTTAAGAGGGACGCTGCTGCCCATCTCTTTACCGTTAAGTTCCGTTTGTTGCTAAAATTGTATGTTACTTAAATTGTATATTTTGCATTAACAAAAAATATATGTCATATAATTATCAAAATGAATAATATAAAAATAAAAATGCAAGTATATTTAAGAAAAGGCCGGCTGTCTAAGTTGCCAGTTTTAATAGGTGCTTAAATAATAATTTATAAAAGTTTTGTGTGTGTATTTTTTGTATATGGCGTGAATTTACTAGGTACAGAGGAATAACACCTGAGTCCTCATGAATGGCATCGCATGGGGGTATCATGGGCGAAACAGTATACTCTGTTATGTTCATGGTACTGCTCATGTCTATAGGCGACGGTTACCACTTTCCATCAGGTTGTTTGTTGTTTGTTTCTACGTAGTATATAAAAAAAAATACTTTTTCAGTACCGGGATTTTTACTTTACAAAAATCCACACAAAAAGTTAATACTAATACATAATAATAATCACTCCAGTTCAATATTAGCAAGCCTGAGAAACTCGTTCTGAGATTCTCCTATTGTATAATTTACAATCAAATTGCAACGGACCTAACGGTGTTTAATTGAAAGAAAAAACGCTACACCACTTAGTCGTGTTATTGAATAGGCATACACGGTGCTTTTTTTTAATGGGTGAGAATGGAATGGTAACCTCACTTGCGCTATCGGTATACTCTGCCGGGGAACCAATATTTAATCTATTTTATTTATTTATTTATTAAACACAAGAAATTTACAACGTGAGTACATTGGACCCCGCACTAGGCGAACCTGTATCGCGGGAGTCCATAAGAGACTACCAGTGAGCCAATTTTACAGAAACAAACATGTTAGAATGACATCGTTAAGTAATATAAAAGTGCTTCGTGAAAACATGTGCATAAAACCGAAAATTATTTAATGACTTTCAATATTACATAAACAAATACATACAATTAAATATACAATAAACCAGTGAGTAGTAGTCGTAGTACAAATAAAAAAAAAAACTATTATTGATTGAAATATACTGTTTATTAATACACCACTAGATGGCATTTTTTTTATTACATATTTATGTTGTGTAAGGTACCGTCCTTGTTGATTTTTACCTTAGTAATCAAACAAATTTACTCGTTAGTGTTTTTAAACTATAGTGTTTTAATACTGACTATAGCACCAGATTGATAAATTTACATATATAACAATATAATTATAATCATTAAATAAACAATTTAATTTCATCTACTAAAATACCAGATTTTTAAGTTAATGCTCATCTTAAACAATAATAACGAAATACAGAAAGTATTTTATCTTGCAGAAAAATTGTATTGCAAATTGCAATGAAAAGATATACCTCTCAGGAATTCTAAACGATAGCGTGGTGACTCAGAAAGTGTATAGATCTAAATACATTACCACTGTCGATGCGCTTCGACAAAAGATAAAAAATATATCGTTCGTACATTCACTGGCAGGTAAAAAACGCGGCAAAAACTAGAGATTAAAATGTCTGCAATGCGAGCAAAAATGTAATTGTCTATAGCTTGGCATTTGGATACGTCATCTAAGTTGTTATCTATGGAATTTAATTTTTTTTTGTATAGTTTGGATTCTTTTTTAAATAAATACACCAATTTACTTTATCTTAGGCACACTTTATATTTTTTTTTCTTTTGTCGAACTTTTTAAAATTTTATGACGATCTAAATATTACTTAGCTTTTGTAGAAAGAGCTAAAATGTAATCTTAGCATATTATATTGTGACAAAATTATTAATAAAGATATAGTGCACTAATTAAATTGCTTACTCTCTAACTCAAAATAATATTTAACGAATCACGTTTCATGCTCGGCCATTGTATTTGTTATTTTGTTTTACACTTCAAAATTTGAATACATTATTAATATAGTATTGTCAGCCAATATTCACGAAATGCATTTGTAATTTTGACATGTATCTGCATTGAAACAGTTCTGCTGAAATGTTTATAATGCAAAGATACCTTCGTGTAAGGTCAATGAACTATACAAGCTGGCACATTGACAGCGTTATTCTTTACATGATTTATATGGTGAGGCACCAACTTCGGGTTTAGTACATTATTAT